AAAACCAAAGAATGTGTGGGACCTGCAGGATTTTTCTGAAGAACAGCAGTTTAGCTGTTCAGGACGAACAGGAGACTCATGAATAAATACCACAAAAACAATACAGTTGGTAACAACACAGTGTTAAGAATCACGCGTATGTAAACTTTTGAACTTGTTTACCATTAAACAATCTTTAAAAGTTTTATTTTTTTCCTAATTTATTTATTTACTTTGAAACTCTGTTCAGAACAGAATGTTAAGACCTCAAAAGATCATAAAAATGCAGTCTTGATCTTTGTCTCTGTCATAGCATATGGTCTGAGACAAGAAGGTCAACATGTTCTGACTGCTGATACAGTCAGATTCAAGGCCATTTCTGTAATAGATATCAGTCTGCTTACAAACCAGTAGCATTTTGTCATGTTGATGTGGCCTGGATAATGTTTATTGTCCATCCAAAAAATAAGCCATTTACCGTCAAGAGGTCTCACCGCACCACGTCATGTACTAGAAAATATTACTTTCATACAAAGTTGACGTAATGTAAGAATCTCAGTCAGATTCAGCTCATAAAATTATTTGTTCCTGTCCTTGAATTGCTTTAGCTAAAATATTTAGTGCTGTCTTTCATATTAGCTTTAATATATTATATTTCAGCGCACTTTCCATTAGGTTGATTTTTTTTTTCTCCAGTGAAAGGAGCCATCACAACCACTGCTGAACATACTAAAATTTATAAAAACAAAGAATTCAAACATTTGCTTTTCTATGATATTTAGAAATGTTGTAATTACTGTCAGTGGATGGCTATTTTTTTTTCAATGTCACCGAACTTTTAACATAAAACAGGTTAAATATGTGACCCGTGCTGACAAAATGAGTCAGAATGAGAAAATAAAAAAAAAAAAAAAAAAAAATTATTTTCACATTCTCAATTAGAATACCTTCAAAATTATAAATGACTTGTTGGAATCGGACAAAAAATGACTGAGCTACAGCCGTTTGAAGGCGAAAGAGTCTGATTTTGAGAAAAATCCAGTTAAAGTTTTCAGAAGATTCCAAAGCAAAATCACCAAGCAACATTGCATATTTTTTGGTAATAATAATTACTATGTTATTAATCACAATATAGCTTTTTTATTTTATCTTTGTTATTAAAAATAAGAACAAATACGCCAATAAACAGTAGTTTAATCAAGAGCAGGAGTGATTACATCTTTTAATGTTTGATTAACATTGAGACAGATCTATATTAAGACCTACTGTAATGCATGGATCTAATATAATGTTACACGTCAGATTTTTCCACAACCGCTAACTAAACGTTCATGTAAAACATAACAGATTATGATTGTGTGAATCTTGCCAAGACATATGTCACAATAATACACTTTATAGGGAGATTGCGCGCTCCCAGAGAGGTGTGTCTTATGCACGCGCTTTGCAAATATCAGTCAGCGCGATCGTTTTGTTCTCATCAGCATGGGTTTGAAAATCATATTTCACTGGTTTGAACTCATGTTATTGAGATATGAATATTCTCAAAGCTGGAATGCTGCGCTTTTCCCAGCTACAACAGGGGGAAGTCGTGGCCTAATGGTTAGAGAGTCGGACTCGTAACCCAAAGGTTGCGAGTTCGAGTCTCAGGTCCGGCAGGAATTGTAGGTGGGGGGAGTGAATGTACAGCGCACTCTCCCACCTTCAATACCACGACTGAGGTGCCTTGAGCAAGGCACCGAACCCCCAACTGCTCCCCGGGCGCCGCAGCATAAATGGCTGCCCACTGCTCCGGGTGTGTGTTCACGGTGTGTGTGTGTTCACTGCTGTGTGTGTGCACTAATTCCTAGTATGGGTTACCATACTTGGCCACATGTCATGTCACTCACTCACTTACAACTTGTGGTGAGAAGCACAAAATTAGACTCTGCGCATTCCGACTCATTTTGCCAGCACGGGTCACATATTGATGTTTTATATCATCTGGATGGTCATTACTGTGAGTAAGAAGAGTCAAGTAAGAATATGAAAAGTTTAAAAATTGTTCCTAGAATCTAAATCATTCCTGGTAGCAGGCAGAGCTTACTTCCTGCATTATGTATTCAGAAATGCATGCTGGATTTCTGTAGCTCAGCGAGGACATGACTAGTCAGACAGGTAGTACTGGGGGGAAAAGCATTTTGTGTATATTATACTGTCTGATTTAATTCAAATGAAGGGGACATGCACTTCAGCACTGGCTGAAGAATATCTTTTTATCACAGGCACTGGAGATTTGTAGCCTCTTTGTTCTTTATGAAGTGTGTCGATATATGGTCTATTTTGTGTTCCCTTTGAGTTTGGAGATGGGGCTGTTAGGTTTGAAGGGTTGAAAGTTAAGCTGTAGCGGTTAAGGGGTATTGGGAGCATTCAAAAATGTTTTAATTTGTAGCTTTTTGATGTATAGGGCTATGTATAGTGTTTTTGGAGCAAATTAATATGATATTTCTAAAATGAAATGAACCTTGTAATGTTAATGCATCTTGTGATGATAATGCAGACATGTTCAGGCAGAATTTGTAACTATGTTTGCAATTTGTTTTATTGCTCTTGCATATCTGAATAATTTTCTAGAAAATGTGTGTTGTAATAAAAGCTTGATGTGGTGCAAGTAGGCCTTTATGTCGGTAAATGACCTCCTTTTTGGCCAGAAATATTTAAAGCCAGATTAACATGACATATAGAAAACTGTAGTCATTCACAATTTTTGGACTGGATTTTGTTGGTTTGTGCAGTGGCGAGATCAGATGTGCATTGACACAACTCACAGCTCAGAGGGAATGCTGGTTGTAACTAACACTAAATGTGATTTGTAAAATCTCATACTTTCTCAGTTTTTCCCCCTCCTGGACGAATAAAAATGCACGATAAACCCACGCCATTTAGCAATTTCTGAAGAGCATCGAGAGCCGTCTTCTCTCAAACTCAGGGAGAGTCATTGAGGCAGCTGTCAGGCCTTTTTAGTTTTGTATAAAATAAAGAAATCAATCATTCTTTTAAGCTGGTTCAGGGAACAATCGCTAAGATGTCCTGTCACTCTCTGATTGTGTTTATGTAGACTACGAGTGCTGTTTTTATCCTCTTGCTAAGTCTTCTGTAAGAAAAAGAAGAAAAAAATAATCTTTACTTTTGACAGGATAATTTAAAAGCCTGTATTTTAGACTTAGTTTCAGGTCTCGCCAAACGTCTCTGTATCAGCACTGACATTTTATACAGATTGCTTGTCAAGATCTTAGTGTTACTGAATAGTTCCTTTCTTTTTAAACAGATGCAGTCAGTGTGCTTGCTCTATTACTATTAATAAACAAAATGCTCAGTGTTACTGAATCGTTCCTTTCTTTTTAAACAGATGCAGTCAGTGTGCTTGCTCTATTACTATTAATAAACAAAATGGTGACCATAGACACTGTAGCAATTATAAAATGTTAATATGACTTATTTGTACATGTCTCACTGTGCTGTGACTTTTTCAAGTAGGAAATATTATGAATAACAGTAATCAACTTACAAATTGCTTATTTCCCTGCATATTAATATAGTAGTATAAAATTAATTTTACTCACTCTCATGTTCAAAATATTCCAAACTTTCTTTCTTCAGTGGAACCCAAAAGGAAAATCTAGGCGGAATGGCAGTCTCAATTACCTCTCACTTTCATTGTATAAAAAAAACAAAAAGCATTGAAACTAAGTGAATGGTGACTGAGGCTGTCATACTGCATAACATCTTCTTTTGTGTTCCACTGAAGAAAGAAAGACATACGGGTTTGGAACAACATGAGGGGGAGTAAATGAAGACACAGTTGTCATTTCTGAGTGAGTTAGAATTTTATCTCTTCAATATGGAATTGTAGAAGGTAACATTGAAAAAAATTACACCAATCATATTTAAAGATGGGACAGAATATGGATGAAAATAATGGCTCTTTAGACCGTTTGAAAAAAAAATGTGAGAATGTTGATAATAGGGTTGTCCTAATTAAGCTTGATTTTTTTCTTCTCCTTCCAGCAATCTCTCCTTGAATCCAATTTTCTTTCTGCCGCCTTCCTTTCTGTGCTTACATCAAATGAACATGCATCCCGTTTCCTCGGGCTTCGCACCACACATGGCAGAACTTCTCAAAGTCTCACATATCTTGAATTAAACAAAATTATTTAATTGCACCTTCATCTCTGCTTCTTCAATCAGCCTTACATGTGTTGCCATGGAAAATAATTGAGAGCGACGACTGGCTTGCCTTGCTGTTGTGTTTTTCTTCTTCTTTCACTCTCTGAGTCAGCCTCCTGTGAATAGGCCCATTCTGCTATGGGCTTTTTGGTCTATGGTGTTTGTCATGACCTCTCCTTCATTCCTGTAGGTCATCAAGCTGGCTTTTGAAGAGTTTGATCTAGAGCGAGCATACGATACATTAACAGTGGGCGACGGAGGGAAGATAGGTGATGCTCGAAGAGTCCTTTATGTGTGAGTAGAGTACAAAGGGTTCTTATGTTAAACTTTGAACAGACACATGCTTCTATTCACAAATGCCTCCATGACTTATTTATGCCCATGGAATAACAGTTTTCTTTCAAAAGCAACCTCCACATGACATAGGCACTGGGTTTATGTATATGCTTTCTTAACTCCATACGAATACACAACTACATGAATACATTTCGATTTTGTGCCTCTATTCTAGCCTCACGGGATCCAGCGTGCCCGATTTGATTGTGAGTATGAGTAACCAGATGTGGCTCCATCTGCAGTCCGATGACACGATTGGATCGCAAGGTTTCAAGGCTGTATATGAAGGTATGTCACTGGTTTTCTCTTTCTTAAGGTAATTTCCACCAACTCTAAGTGATGAAACAGGACTGTAAATGGTCACCTTTTTCTTCTTTTCCAAGAAATATCAGTGTGTTGTTTATTCCTTTTTACAGTGAAAATGTATGACTTGGTGACTTTCGGTTGCTAAAGCGTACCAGTTTTAAAAAGGCATGCAAATTGAAGGCAAATGGAGCAGCATATGTGCTGTACAGACATGTTCGAAAAGCTTGCGTGAAATATTCTACCTGCCGTTCACCCTGCAGGAGAATAGCATCAAAGCAAGTCAGATCTGAGAATACACTGAGGCATGTATTTACATATACACAGATAAACCGATAAAAATTGCTACAGAAACAGCCATTCCATATTCACAAGTAAACATGTTCAAGTTCAAGTTTATTTATTTGTATAGTAGAGACATAATTAGCGTAACTGCTGTTCCAATCAAGCAACATTGATTTGTTTAACCCAAGCTATTGAATAACAATGTGCATTTGATCAGATATAACTGCAGTACAAGATTATGAGATGCATTATTTGAATGCTTGGCCAAAGAGATGTG